AGGGCCCGGGAGGTTCAAGCCACTGCCCGCTGGGCACCCCGGCCAGAGAGGAGGCCTGACGGGGGAGGGCTGGAGGCTGGAGGGGCGAGGGGGCGCTCGCAGGGCCTAGAGGAGAGAGCCACACTCCGGCAGCCCTGCTGAGGCTGAGCCAGAGGGGCGGGGAGGCCGGTCTCGGGCGCGGCGGTCTCGGGGCGCCCCGTCCTGCCAGCAATTAGCAGGGAGCGCAGGCTCCCGGGGGCCACCGGCACCCCAGGACGAGGGAAGTGAGCCGCCCCCGAGACCGCGGGGCCCCAGGAAAGCCGTGAGGGTGGCAGGAAGCTGGGGTGGGGTGAGCAGGCGCGCAGGGCTGAGAGGCGGCGGGCTGGGGCCGCTGGGCCTCGGGGCGCAGGAGGGGTCAGGGTGCCAGGAGCCCCGATGCCGCGCTGAGCCCTGCCCTGTGGGCACCTGAGGGGCGGCGGCCCGGGCAGAGCGGGGCGGCGGTGTGGCCCACTGGCAGCCCTGGGCGGGCCTGGTGCCCAGCGCCCGATGCGCCCTTGCGTCCAGGGGCCAGTGGGGAGAGGACCGGTCCCTCCGCCTCTGCTCCAGGTGCTGACCTTTGCCAAGAACGGCTCCCTGCAGCTCCTGGACGTGGCCAAGTCCCAGGCGGTCTGCGCCTTCGCCCTCCCCCGGCCCTGCCCGCTGACGGCCCCCTGGAAGCCGCTGTTCGTCGTGTCTTCACACCACCCCTGCTTCCTGCTGCGAGGTCCGGGAGGGCCCCGCCGCCCACTGCCCTGCGGCCTGCTGACCGCGCCGGCCAGTGTGACCCACCCTCTCCGGGGCCCACTCTGGGTGCCCTGCTGCGCCAGGCCAGGGAGCCCCTGGGGCCCAGAGTCCCTGGGCAGCCACACCGGACACGCCCTTCTCTTCCACCTCAGGCCACCATCCGGATGAAATCGGGAGCGCCCAGGACCGCAGCTTCCAAAATTCTCTTTTCTACTTCAATTTCGAAGCCTACCCGCCGCTGGAGAGCGTCACAAGGAGCTGCCCCTCGGCCCGGGCCGAGGGCCTGGCCACCGCCCGGGGCCCGTCCTTGGAGGAGAGATGCGAGAGCTTCCTGCAGCAGAGGTAGTGGCCCTGACCGCCGCCTTCCCGAAGGCCAGGGTGGTTCTGGTGCCTCCGGGCCGGCAGGGCCCAGAGGTCCCCGGGAGCCAGCCTGTCCCAGAGGCCTGGGGCCTGGGGACATGAAGAGGGCGCCGGGATGCGGTCAGCCCGCCCATGCAGGCTGGTCTGGAGCCTCGGTGGCTACTTGTTCTTAGGGGACACAGCTGGAGAAGTTAGGGCGCGGCACCGCGAAGCGTGATGCCACATCTGGCTCGGGGCCCGGGGCGGGTGGGGACAGGGCGCAGAGGGGCCGCAGCTCTGACCGTCCGTACAATAAAACCGGGGGTAGGAGACAGTCCCGGGCGGGCGCCGGCTGGTGTGGGGCCACAGAGGGGTGGAGGCGAGGCCCAGGGCTCCTGCGGTGTTTGCAGAGCTGCTGGGCCCTGGGCTGGGCAGGGAGGCCGGGCGGGGTGGAGGCCTGGCCTGGGGTGGAGGCCAGGGCTGGGGCATGGAGGCCGGGGCCAGGGGGGAGGCTGGGCAGGGTTGGAGGCCAGGGCAGGGGCTGGGGCCAGCGGGGAGGCCGGGCAGGG